CTTTAAAATTATTATGGATTACAATAAAAGAATAAAGTTAGAAGTCAAGCAAATAATAGAGCTCATTCTTAATCAAATATATCCTGATTTATATTTTTTTGTACACAAAAAATATTTGATATAAAAACGACAAAACAAAATAAATAAGTAAATTTCAATTATAACAGAATCTCTTCATATAACGAAAATGATTTTGGACAATATTCAAGTATGGATTCAAGAACTCAATCGGATGAAACAAAATATATACCTAATGAACGACATTCATCATAATTATGATGTCGTTCTGATACATATAATTTATCACAGAGAACAACAATTTCAAATTGATCAAGTAAACCCCTTGTGTCACGCATGTTATTATTCGTAAATTACCTGTTGTGATTAAATCTTGTAAACGATCATTTGTCATTTTAATATCATTATTTTCCGTACATTTAATCATAAAACATATATTTTCAAAAAATGAATGACGTTTATCAATTGAACATGAACGTTTTGGACCACCTTGAGACTGATAATCTGTATCATCACCTTCAATTTCAAATGCACCTTTATCAACAATTCGATCCTATTTAATATAATCAATTAACCAACGATATGAAACACAAAAACAATGATTAGCTATAGCTTCAATTAATTTCATTGATAATGGTGAACGTAATGTATGTTTATCATCATTGGTTATTAAATGCATTGTTTCAGAATTAATTGATGCTGTTTGTGTAACGCGAGATGAATATTTTCGTAGAAATTCATCTACTCTATCCTTGAATATTGTAATCGCGAATAACTTACTACAGTAGTTGATAACGTTCAAGACATGATACAGAAAAAACAATTGATTTATTTGTATCTCTCTAAATAATAATAATAAGATAAAATAAAACAAGATTTTATTCATAATATTTTATCTGAATATAAAACATACACGAAATCGAATTGGCATTTCATCAGTATCTAAATCAGCTATTGTTATTGCTGATGGTGGATTTGTAGTAGTTGCAGATAATTCACTAGCTATTGGTTGAATTTCATAGATACTTTCATTGTCAATAGAGTTTTTTGGATTTAAATCATTATTTAATTTATTTGAAGAAAAATTGTCTGTAACATGATGAGTATGTCTTTTGTGTTTCTAAATGATAATAATTTATAAAAAATGAATCTTCAATGGTTTATTTTAATTATAGAATATAATTCCTACTTGATATAACGTCAAGAATAGACATTAATAAGAAACTATTGCGAAACTACGTGATTGACCTTTTCATTATGTTTTTAGATCATTAGAAGAAATATTAATACATCGACGTGACAAATCCATGACTTATATACTGTATCACGAGATTATAACAGTATTATCGAAGGTATTTAGTAGTCTGTAAACTCCAATATGCCTAGAGTCTATGAGAGTCACTAACTGAATGTGACTGAATGGAGAAAAAGATATTGTTTGTGAGATTTGAATCGCACACCTTCTGCTATCCAAGCAGATGCTTTCAGTATCGATCCTTTTTTCTGATGACATGACTTTTGAGTACCTCCTAAGAAGATCACATGGAAACGTTTATCAGTAGTTTCTATGTTGTACATTCATGATCTTATGTCGAGGTGATCACATATTTTTTTAATGCTATAAAAGCTATATATAAATGGGATTCTGCTACACAAACTGAAACGTCGCACTATTCAGATAAGAATTTTTCAATGAAGGTATCTTCATAGTTATGAATTGGCATTGTTTTGTTTTATCATCAAACATTCATCGTTCTTAGATTGCGGAGTATAGTGATTAACCCTAGAACTACCAAGCTTATTTTTGGAAATAATATGATGACATGTATTTGTATTCTATGATTTTGATTGCTGAACCGATATTTTTGTCCAAATTAGATTATTTTCCTCTTCAGTCTTGTAAAGAAATTATTAGAAATATAGTTTTTCTTTATTTAGAACAGGTAATACAAAAAATTCGTTTAATAAATTACTCATTACAAACAGGTTCTGCATGTTCGTTTCCTATGGTGGGGTCCATTTGGACCCCTCTTGGTAGTCCTAGGGTTAAAGAAGACTATGATACTCGCTAATGAAATAACCTCTTGCTCTCGAAATTAAAAAAAATATTGGAACTTCAGTTGTCTATCGGTAATTACACAAGACGTTTGTTTGCTCATGTAAATTACCTCTTTTTTTTCTATCAGGAAAAATACCAACATGACATATACGAACCTTAATGCAATCGGCACGAAAAAATTTGTTACATATATCACATTTTATTTTATTGATTGGTTCAAAATTTAATTTGGATGCTGATCTCGGAGCTAACCGACATTCTCCAATATCTCATTGATTAACTAAAACTTGCATTGGATNGACCAAGAGTGAAAGGTGTTTCAATAGCTAAAAATAAAATAAAATAATTTTCATTCTAAGAAAATTTTGATATTAATAATAATACTACCAACATTGAATTTTTGATGGTATCATTGTTGCCTTTGATGATGCAACAGCAGTTGCTGATTGTTGAATTAATTGTCTACGTTTTAATTCATTAACAGTTATACCTGATGTTTGATGATAATGTCCAACATAAAAATTTCGATCAGCAACAAATGCCTGACATTCTTCTCCATCATCATATTTACATAATTGTCTCCAAACTCGTGCATTAAATCTTTGTCTTTCAATCAAACCGTCACGTCGAACATGTGCATGGAATTGATCTTTATCAGGTAAATTTGACGATGCACTTGCTGTTGTCGTCATATTTTTTTATTATTAGACCTCTGTTTTTTTTTTAAAATTATTATCTATTACAATAAAAGAATAAAGTTAGAAGTCAAACAAATAATAGAGCTCATTCTTAACCAAATATATCTTGATTTATATTTCTTTTGTATACAAAAAATATTTGATATAAAAACGACAAAACAAAATACATAAGTAAATTTCAATTATGATGAAGTTCTTCATGTAACGAAAATCGGATGAAACGAAATGTTATACCTAATGAACGACATTGATCATAATTATGACGTCGTTCTGATACATATAATTTATCACAGAGAACAACAATTTCAAATTGATCAAGTAAACCTCTTGTGTCACACATGTTATTATTCGCCCATCACCTATTGTGATTAAATCTTGTAAACGATCATTTGCCATTTTAATATCATTATTTTCCGTACATTTAATCATAAAACATATATTTTCAAAAAATGAATGACGATTATCAATTGAGCGTGAACGTTTTGGACCACCTTGAGAATGATAATCTGTATCATCACCTTCAATTTCATATGCACTTTCATCAACAATTCGATCATATTTAATATAATCAATTAACCAACGATATGAAACACAAAAATAATGATTAGCTATAGCTTCAATTAATTTCATTGATAATGGTGAACGTAATGTATGTTTATCATCATTTGTTATTAAATGCGTTGTTTGAGTAACACAAGATGAAAATTTTCGTAGAAATTCATCAACTATATTCTAGAATACTTCAATATGATTATTGAATATTGTAATCGCGAATAACTTACTAATTGATAACGTTCAAGACATGTTACAGAAAAAACAATTGGTTTATTTGCATCTCTCTAAATAATAATAATAAGATAAAATAAAACAAGATTTTATTCATAATACTTTATATGAACATAAAACATACACGAAATCGAACTGGCATTTCATCAGTATCCAAATCAGTTACTGTTATTGCTGATGGTGGATTTGTAGTAGTTGCAGATAATTCACTAGCTATTGGTTGAATTTCATAGACACTTTCATTGTTAATAGAGTTTTTTGGACTTAAATCATTATTTAATTTATTTGAAGAAAAATTGTCTGTAACATGATGAGTACGTCTTTTGTGTTTCTAAATGATTATAATTTATAAGAAATGAATATTCAATTGCTTATTTTAATTATCGAATATAATTTTTACTTGAAATAACGTCAAAAATAGACATTNATCTGACATTCTTCTCCACCATCATATTTGCATAATTGTCTACAAACTCGTGTATTAAATCTTTGTTCTTCAATCAAACCGTCACGTCGAACATGTACACAAATTTGATCTTTATCAAGCAAATTTAACGATGTACTTGCTGTTGTCGTCATATTTTTTTTTATTATTACACCTCTGTTTTTTTTAAAAATTATTATCTATTACAATAAAAGAATAAAGTTAGAAGTCAAACAAATAATAGAGCTCATTCTTAACCAAATATATCTTGCTTTATATTTTTTTTGTATACAAAAAATATCTGATAAAAAAAACGACAAAACAAAATAAATAAGTAAATTTCAATTATAATGGAGTTTCTTCATATAACGAAAATCGGATGAAACAAAATATATACCTAATGAACGACATTGATCAGAATTATGATGTCGCTCTGATACATAAAATCTATCACAGAGAACAACAATTTCAAATTGATCAAGTAAACCCTTTGTGTCACGCATGTTATTATGCGTTCATCACCTGTTGTGATTAAGTCTTGTAAAAGATCATTTGTCATTTTAATATCATTATTTTCCGTAAATTTAATCATAAAACATCTATTTTCAAAAAATGAATGACGTTTATCAATTGAACGTGACCGTTTTGGACCACCTTGAGACTGATAATCTGTATCATCACCTTCAATTTTACATGCATCTTTATCAACAATTCGATCATATTTAATATAATCAATTAACCAACGATATGAAACACAAAAATAATGATTAGCTATAGCTTCAATTAATTCTATTGATAATGGTAAACGTAATGTATGTTTATCATCCTTTGTTATTAAATGCGTTGTTTGAGTAACACAAGATGAAAATTTTCGTAGAAAGTCATAAACTATATCCTAGAAGGTTTCAATATGATTATATATTGAATATTGTAATCGAATAACTTACTAATTGATAACGTCCAAGACATGTTACAGAAAAAACAATTGATTTATTTGCATCTCTCTAAATAATAATAATAAGATAAAGTAAAACAAGATTTTATTCATAATATTTTATATGAATATAAAACATACACGAGATCGAATTGGCATTTCATCAGTATCTAAATCAGCTATTGTTATTGCTGATGGTGGATTTGTAGTAGTTGCAGATAATTCACTAGCTAATTGATTGAATTTCATAGATACTTTCATTGTTAATAGAGTTTTTTGGACTTAAATCATTATTTAATTTATTTGAAGAAAAATTGTCTGTAACATGATGAGTACGTCTTTTGTGTTTCTAAATGATTATAATTTATAAGAAATGATATTAAAATGACAAATGATCTTTTACAAGACTTAATCACAACAGGTGATGAACGCATAATAACATGCGTGACACAAAGGGTTTACTTGATCAATTTGAAATTGTTGTTNCAGTTAAAGGTGTTTCAATAGCTAAAAATAAAATAAAATAAAATAATTTTCATTCTAAGAGAATTTTGATATTAATAATAATACTACCAACATTGAATTTTTGATGGTATCATTGTTGCCTTTGATGATGCAACAGCAGTTGCTGATTGTTGAATTAATTGTCTACGTTTTGATTCATTAACAGTTATATCTGATGTTTGATAATAATGTCCAACACAAAGACTCCTATAAGCAACAAATACCTGACATTCTTCTCCACCATCATATTTGTATAATTGTCTACAAACTCGTGTATTAAATCTTTGTCCTTCAATCAAACCGTCACGTCGAACATGTCCACGAATTTGATCTTTATCAAGCAAATTTGACGATGTACTTGCTGTTGTCGTCATATTTTCTTTATTATTAGACCTCTGTTTTTTTAAAATTATTATCTATTACAATAAAAGAATAAAGTTAGAAGTCAAACAAATAGTAGAGCTCATTCTTAATCAAATAAATCTTCATTTATATTTTCTTTTGTATACAAAAAATATTTGATATAAAAACGACAAAACAAAACAAATAAGTAAATTTCAATTATAATGGAGTTTCTTCATATAACGAAAATCGGATGAAACAAAATGTACACCTAATGAACGACATTGATCAGAATTATGGCGTCGTTCTGATACATAAAATTTATCACAGAGAACAACAATTTCAAATTGATCAAGTAAACCCTTTGTGTCACGCATGTTATTATTCAACCATCACCTGTTCTGATTAAATCTTGTAAAAGATCATTTGTCATGTTAATATCATTGTTTTCCGTACATTTAATCATAAAACATATATTTTCAAAAAATGAATGACGTTTATCAATTGAACGTGAACGTTTTGGACCACCTTGAGACTGATAATTTGTATCATCACCTTCAATTTCAAATGCACCTTTATCAACAATTCGATCATATTTAATATAATCAATTAACCAACGATATGAAACACAAAAACAATGATTAGCTACAGATTCAATTAATTTCGTTGATAATCATGAGCGTAATGTATTTTTATCATCATTTGTTATTAAATGCGTTGTTTGAGTAACACGAAATGAAAATTTTCGTAGAAATTCATCAACTATATCCTAGAATATTTCAATATGATTATATATTGAATATTGTTATCGAATAACTACTAATTGATAATGTTCAAGACATATTACAGAAAAAACAATTGGTTTATTGGCATCTCTCTAAATAATAATAAGATAAAATAAAACAAGATTTTATCATATTTTATATGAATATAAAACATACACGAAATCGAATTGACATTTCATCAGTATCCAAATCAGCTACTGTTATTGCTGATGGTGGATTTGTAGTAGTTGCAGATAATTCACTAGCTATTGGTTGAATTTCATAGACACTTTCATTGTTAATAGAGTTTTTTGGACTTAAATCATCATTTAATTTATTTGAAGAAAAATTGTCTGTAACATGATGAGTACGTCTTTTGTATTTCTAAATGATTATAATTTATAAAAAATGAATATTTAATTGCTTATTTTAATTATCGAATATAATTTTTACTTAAAATAACGTCAAGAATAGATATTCATAAGAAACTATTGCGAAACTATGTGATTGACCTTTTCATTATGTGACAAATTCATGACTTATATACTGTATCAGAAGATTATACCAGCATTATCGACGGTATTTGGGTAGTCTGTAAACTCCAATATGCCTAGAGTCTATGAGAGTCACTGACTTAATATGACTGAATGAAGAAAAAGATATTCTTTATGAGATTCGAATCACATACCTTCTGCTATCCGAGCAGATGGTCTAAGCCAGTTAGACTCGAAAATATACCTTAAATCCCTTTTAATCTTTAGAGCAGTTAATTGACTGTGGAAATTATTATCGGTATCGATCCTTTTTTTTCTGATAACGTGATTTTTGAGTACCTCCTAAGAAGATCATATGGAAACGTTTACCAGTAGTTTCTATGTTGTACATTCATGATCTTGTGTCGAGGTGATTACATATTTTTTTTATGCTGTAAAAGCTGTATATAAATAGGATTCTGTTACACAAACTGAAATGTGGCAATATTCAGATAAGAATTTTTCAATGAAGGTTTGTTTGTTCATGTAAATTACTCTTTCTTCTCTATCAGGAAAAAATACCAACATGACATATACGAACCTTAATGTAATCAGCATGAAAGAATTTGTTACATATATCACATTTTATTTTGCTGATTGGCTCAAAATCTTATTTGAATGCNTATTGAATATTGTAATCGAATAACTTACTGATTGATAACGTTCAAGACATGTTACAGAAAAGACAATTGGTTTATTTCCATCTCTCTAAATAATAATAATAATAAGATAAAATAAAACAAGATTTTATTCATAATATTTTATATGAATATAAAACATACACGAAATCGAATTGGCATTTCATCAGTATCCAAATCAGCTATTGTTATTGCTGATGGTGGATTTGTAGTAGTTGCAGATGATTCACTCGCTATTGGTTGAATTTCATAGATACTTTCATTGTTAATAGATTTTTTTGGACTTAAATCATCATGTAATCCATTTGAAGAAAAATTGTCTGTAACATGATGAGTACGTCTTTTGTGTTTCTAAATGATTATAATTTATAAAAAATGAATATTCGATTGTTTATTTTAATTATCAAATATAATTTCTACTTGACATAACGTGTATAATAGACATTAATAAGAAGATCATATCGAAAGACTTATCAGTAATTTCTATGGTTTACATTCATGCTCTTATGTCGAGGTGATCACATGTTTTTTTATGATGTAAAAGCTATATATAAATGGGATTCTGCCACACAAACTGAAATATCGCACTATTCAGATAAGAGTTTTTCAATGAAGGTATCTTCATAGTTATGAACTGGCATCGTTTTGTTTTGTCATCAAACATTCATTGCTTTTAGATTGCGAAGTATCGTGATTAAAGAAGACTGTGATGTTTGCTACTGAAATAACTCTTGCTCTGGGAATTACAACAAATATTGGAACTTCAGTCGTCTATTGGTAATTACAAAAGACGTTTGTTTGTTTATGTAAACTACCATTTTTTTTTCTATGAGGGAAAAATACCAACATGACATATACGAACCTTAATGTAATCGGCACGAAAGAATTTGTTACATATATCACATTTTATTTTGCTGATTGGCTCAAAATTTAATTTGGATGCTGGTCTCGGACGTAACCGACCTTCTCCAATATCCCATTGATTAACTAAAACTTGCATTGGATCTTGTTCCATTCCATTATCTAGTTCGGAACAAACAGCTAAATATAAAAGAAAAAGAAAAGGAAAATTATTATAGTTTGAGTCGGTAATTCTTTACTTGATTGATCACTTATTAAAGTATTTGTCTCAATATGAGATTTATTACGCTGTATATAGAAAATAAAAAAGTGAAAAAAAAAATTATTAATTTTATTCTTGAATAATTTTACTTCAGATGTATGATTATTATTCAATGTAATTGCAAAGTTTCCTTGATGCACTTTTCTCATATGTCGTAAATAAGCTGATCGATGTGCAAATTCATGTTGACATCTTGAACAATATTTACTTTTAGGATTTAATTGTTTTCGTCGATGAACTCTTGTATCATTGTCTTGAAGTTTATTTCCAATTATTATGGAACTTTCACTATCAATTTTATATTCATCTATGAAAAAAATAAACAAATAAGAAACCATATTCATCTAAATATTTACTTGTAGGTTTGATATTTTTTATTATTGTTCGCTGTGATTCAACATTAGTTTCATGTTCTTCAGAAATTTTCGACGCCATACATTGTTGATTATCATTATCATTAATACATATTGTTGAAATTTCATCTAAATGAAAAAAAGGAAAAATCAGTAGAAGAATTAAAATTTTGTTTTCTCTCGTTTTATAATACTCTACCCTTTGTTAAGCGTCGTATACGTATAATTGGATGACCAGATGCTTTTTGCTTAGCAAGTGCATGTTCAACATAATATGTGCGTCTTTTTAATTTATAAATTTCTTTNTTGTAGGTTTGATATTTTTTATTATTGTTCGCTGTGATTCAACATTAGTTTCATGTTCTTCAGAAATTTTCGACGCCATACATTGTTGATTATCATTATCATTAATACATATTGTTGAAATTTCATCTAAATGAAAAAAATTAAAAATCAATAGAAGAATTAAAATTTTGTTTTCTCTCGTTTTATAATACTCTACCCTTTGTTAAGCGTCGTATACGTATAATTGGATGACCCGATGCTTTTTGCTTAGCAAGTGCATGTTCAACATAATATGTGCGTCTTTTTAATTTATAAATTTCTTTTTGCATTTGAAAAAGTACATTTGTCATTGCTATTACATATTGTCGGTTAAGTGAATGTGTCAGATGGAACAATTTGTCATATCGATAACGACGTTTTGGTAGATGAAAAGCATCTTTAATTTATGAAGAGAAAAAAAAAATTTGTTGTTATTATTATTTTACTTTTTTTCTATCTAATTTACTTTTTAACCTTGATGAACGACATTGAAATGAGCGATCAGTTGTGCTGATTGTTGCACTTGATGAGGGTGAGGGACTATTGATATATGAATTCTTATTCATATTGTTGTCATCTACACGAATAGAAGCTTCACTTTCATCAATGGATATATTGCTTGCACCAGATGACATACATTTATCTGGAGAATAATTACGTGGGACTTTCGAAGAACCTGGTGACGCCATGGATTTGTTTTTTAATGAAACCGAATATGTATATATATATATATACCTATCTATCTATTATTAAACAAAAAAACTTATTAAATTGAAATGCAAAAATGTGTTTTCTTTGCATTAAAAATATTCGATAAAAAAAAATATTACTCCTGTAAATGAAAGAATGAAAAAAGAATAGAAGTTTTGGCACAATAATGTTTGCAGTCATATTTTCGGCGAAACACTGTCATCTTATCTGAAATAGGAAAGAAAGAAAAAAGTCACGATAAAATATTCAAACTCTATTGAAGGTCATAAGCTTTGCAGACGATAATATTTTTTTTTTCTTTTTTGATAAAAAAAGAAGCTTACATACAAGCACTACGTTGTTTCTTCCTAGTTTGTGCGCAGTAATATAAAGAATGAAAAAAAAGACTCAGAAAATGGCGAACATACATTGGAAACAGACGATGTCACACTCATACAGGTGAATTTCTTCGATGAATATACAATGCTTTTTTGTTATTATTAAAGCACATAAGTGGATGCTTAAAAGTCTTTTTGTTCGTCTTGCTTTTTCGCTTCACACGGCATCCATGACAGAACAACAATTCTTTCTTTATCTGCTGATGTTGACACTTGTGAATTTGATGGTCGAAATTCAGCTGCATCAGGATTTAATTTAGTTTGTTGTGAACTTTCAATCTAAAAATAAGACATAACAAAAAAGGGACAAATAACGTCATTTCATCAAAAAGTCTCTTTTTAATATGTCAATAATTACCAGATTATTTGGCATTTCAGCAGTAGAATACTCTTGTGCCATAAAAAGCATGCATTCACGCATTTGTTCAAACATTTCATCTTGCTAGAAGAGAAAGCAAAAAAGAAAGTAGATATATATTACATGATATTAAATATTATAAATTCATTGGTTATGTAAATTTGTTTTTATGGAAGAAGCAAACTTTTCTTATGAATACCTCTTCTCTGGAAAAATTATTCCATGTCTAAAACAGAATAATTTATTTTTTTATTATTATTTCCTTCTTGTTAGCAAAAAGAAAAATAAAGCAATATGCAAATATACCGAGCTATTCTGGTTCCAATATTGTGAATACTGAAGGCATAATCATAGACATTTTATTAATTAGAGAGGAAAGACAAAAAATATATATGTCATTTGTTCGTACCTCATTTTCATACCGTGCAAATGCATTTTGTACATCGTCAGAATAGATAGGTTCGTCTTCATCATTATCATTTAATTGTTCATTTGTCATTCTTTCTACCGTTGCTTCAAGTTCATTTTCAAGTTCATATGGAATATCATCATCAGCATGATTATTATCATTATAATCATATTGTTCATTTAAGTATGAATTCATAAAATCATGAGGATGCCTTGAAAAAAAACTCATATTGATAAATATCGATAAAGAAATAGTCTTACATTTGTCCTGTTGGATCATGAAAAAGATTATTATATATAAGCGATGATTGATCATTAGGGTTTGAACTATGAAAATAAAAAGTCAATGTTAGTAGAGACTCTATTAATATACGTGCCATCAATGTTTTTAGCACACTAATAGAGAAATACAAAGAATACATAAGTCTAAAAAAAATTTCTAACACTAAATTATGTATGAAGTTGATAAATAATTTATGAAAGACATGCGTTTATATGTTTGTTACTCTACTCAAATTTATTAATTTTTCTTTTAAATAACGTACTGAAAACTTCATTAAAATATTCCTGACTGTGATGACCTGTGTTGTTTTTTTTAAGCCTACGAGGTATCAAAACGGTGTTTTATGTTATATTCTAAGATAAAAAAAAAAAGAAGAAATGAATCATTATCATGCGACGATAAAAAGTCGATTAAATATACTTTAAAAAAGTTGTTTTTACTGAATAATGGCTGGAAATTTCTTTCTTTCTATTCTCATGGATTCAATATTATTTGAAATTTTCATAGAAAAAAAGAAATCGTTTAATTTTGATTTATTTATCAATTCATGAAACATAATAATTCTAAAATTTTCTTCATATTAATCATAGTTTTCAATGAAAATTATCCGCTTCTTAAATCAGAACATACGAATTGTTTGATGTTATTGATGGATCATCTTCATAGTCGGTGTATAGAGTATTAGAAGGTATTGGAGGATGAGGATTTGTATTTTGTGTTTGATCGTTATCAGAAGTTTTTGATTGTTCCTGTGAGGAAGACATCTAAAGGGTAGGAAATATATAATTAATTTTCTATGAAAATATTTCAATTGATTATAATACTATTATTTTTCTTTGCAATCTTCAATTTATAATTATTGAACAAATTACGAAAAACAGGTTAATACACAAAATTTATATAAACGAAATAACAATCGAATAATATATATCTATCTATATATATATATATTTATTTATTCTATTTTTCACTATTGGTAATATACATCATTCAATATAACGATAACATTGATAGTAGCGTAGGTTTTCTTCAATGAAATTCCAACAATACATGAAAAAATTCTCTTTTTACATTACTGGGAATTTTCACACGACATTATTCGAATTTTAAGATAAATATTTATTCGCTGATTATTAATAGATGTCACTGGTAATCAACAAACTCTTTTTGTATGTTTGATAATAGTTAAATTAAACGTGATATATAAGGTGCGTATATTGTGAAAACTTTGTTTTTTATTCATGAGGAAATATAGAATACATTGAGTTATTAAGGAATCAATTTTCAAGTGAAGATTTTCCAAAAAAAAACAAAAAAACTCTCGAATTTTAAGTCTCATGAGAAAACATGACAATTAATTCATATAAACATAAGTGTCATTTTTGTTTTTCGTTCTATGCAAGTAGGTAGTTATTTTTAACCGTATTGTGACATGAAATTAACTAGGCAAAAATGATTGTACAGCTATTCTTCTCTGATTAATTTTATGACGAGGTAAGAAGAACATTTGTATAGTTGCAGAGCACAAAAAAGAACATGATATTCAAATTTGCAGAAAAAATTGATATCTTTTGTAATAAAATTTAAAAATTCAGATTTTTTTCTGAAAAATCTACTTTTACAAATGGAAAAAACACTTTTCTTTGATAACTCAATGTGTTCTACATTTAACCGAGCATAAAACAAAAGTTTTACATAAAATTAGAACTTGCACTCAAATTATGCTGATCTAAAAAACATAAAGAATATATATTAGATATATTCTGAGTAATGAACGAGTATTTTCAGAATATAGAGAAATTCTATTCAACTTCGAGTCTAATATTTTTAAAAGTCTTATTGTTTATTTTATGAAAAAAAAATTTAGGCAAGAAATTCATTCGAAATATATAAATCAGCAAAAAGTTTATATTTACATAGACAATTTTTTCTGTTAAACTTAAACAAAATGTCATCCATCTTACCGAAAGTACCAATTGTATTACAATATCCCAGTTTTTATTGCAGGCTCTTCATTGTATAATATTTTTTATCTTACAAAGCTTACTAAATACCTGAGAACAATTATCAAATCGATTATGAAATAGGTAAATCAGTCATTAAGAAGAAAAATAACATGACACACAATAAATTGATCTTTAAATTGAGTAACAATAGAAGAACAATATTATCTAATAAAAAAATGCGTCGTACTATGAAAGACTATAGGTACTGACGTCATAGAGAAACTTAGACAGTGGAATTTCCACTAGAATTATAAACCAGTACGCAAATAGATAACTGCAGACTTCTTTTATCTACAATATCAATATCTAGCCAATGTAAAATTGTCACTTCCACTACTAGTGATAATTTTTTTAAAAGTTAATGAAAAGCGGCGTCTGACATTTTAAATTATGACATATATCTATATTGACAGAAATGAACCCATATGCTAGAGTGTTTTATAGCAACGGAAGAAAATTATTGTCAAACGTGTTTGAATATTAATGTACTTTGAAGACAAGTTCTCAATTTATGTTTTCTGTTATCGTTTTCGAAAAGAATCTTATTGTTCTTTTATTCTATTCTTGTAAAACTTTCGAATAGTCTATATCTATGAAATTTTATGTTTGATGAAAATTATTGCTACTCTATATACTAGTTTCTTATGATATTATGTCGTTGTGTGATGTAATATATGATGTCAAAATAAAAATAAAATTATTTCTATAGCCACAGTTGGTTAACTATGTACACATAAAATTTTATCATAATAAATCTTAAGGTAAATAAAAATAAGATACCAAAACAAAAAATTTCTGACATCAGTTTTCTATGTTATCACGATTTTTTTGTTGTAGGAAGCATGACGAAAAACAAATTACTCTTGTAGGCGACGAACAATAATACACTAGTTTCAAAGTATTTGGGTACGATTAAGTATATGAAGTGAATTTATACACTTCGGTTTATTATCATCATTCAACTGTACATAAGTGAAGTTTACAAACTCCAACAAATTTGTGCCTGTTCTTCCTTTTTTCGCAATGATCTTTCTAATCTCTTTAATTGCTGATTTATAACTTATTTTTATGTTTAAATAAACATAAGAAACAGTGAGTTCAGTATAATTTTTTGTTTGTGATACAATCGAATATCTAATTTTCGTGTGTTATATTCATGTATAATAAAATTAACTGATGCAATTTTTATTCTTTTCTCTGTATTATTTGCATTAATACAAGTTTCTTTTTCATAATGACATATTCTAAATAAAATAATAAATATTCTCAAATCATCAATTGATTGTGATATTTTTGATTATCTTTTCGTATAATTCACCTTGAACAAAATATAGAAAGATATATGTATGCGGACGCGTGCTTTGTTCAATAGCAAAAAAAAAATATTATATGAAAAAAAAAGACAAAAAAAATGTAGAGAGATAGAGACAAAATAAAAGAGAAACTGTGGTGTTTTGGATCGATTATATATAACGATGACGACGACGGCTCTACTCTCTCGATTTCTTTGTGTTTATAAAGCGCGCGTGTACATAGTGATGTGCAACAAATTTGACAAAAACAACGATGACGACGACGACAACTGCAATTCGATATGCAAAAAAATAGTCTTTTCTTTTTTTTTAATTGATTTTATGTATTCATTTGCCGTTTGACAAAACGCATTGTCAATAAGCATATAGCAAGAAGAATAACAATTTGTTGAAAATTTTGAATACTTGGACTGCCACCAAAAGCTCTTGTTTCTTGATCCCATGCATATTCTAATAGAAAGTAAAAAGAAAAAAAAAACAAATACAAGTGAGCTCAGGGAAGAACAAATCTTTTTCGAAATAACTTACTAAAAAAGGCAACAAATGGAATAAATGTAGCCCAAAGTCCAATAAGACCGAGTGCTGACAGACAGCAGAGACAAGTAATGGCGCCACCTAAGCCACCTAATACTCCGCCAAGTGCACCTGCTCCAGCAGCAGCAGCAGCACGAGGAGGAGGAGGAAGTGGACGTATTGGTGGTCTGAAATACAAAGTCCATATATGATTGTACAAATTAAAAATCCAATAATATAATTTGTACTTACCGTGATCTGTACATTTCTCAGTCAAAGCTGGACAAGGATCTGGAAATAAAATGAGGATATAAGAAAAATCTAATGGTTCATGATCAATGAAAAAAAGATAGTATTTTTTGTTCTTTAACAAAAAAAACAAACAACCAATGCTAAATCCTCATATATGTGCTCTCTCTCCCTCTCTTGCACTAGCATAAGCATATGGGGCTCGACGGTAATTATTGTTTGAAAAAAATACGCCACTGTATTTCTTCATACTCTGTTTCTTTCTCTCTGTGTGTGTGTGTCTCTCTCTCTATCTATCTATCTGCTCCCATCCGAAGGAGACACATTCATACACATTCACGTCATGGTTGACGGCATTTTTTTGCTTTCATGATAGTAGAAAGAGAGAGACAGAGGAACTAATGTATTTCTCACCAATAAATATGACATATCATATAAAAAAAAAAATTATTTTACCTACATTGACTACCAAAAAAAACCCGAAGAAGAGAGAAACAAGTTATGCACATCAGCCTCCATATCTTATGATGAATATGTATATGTATGACAAAAAAAGTGCAAAAAAATAAATCATGCGTAACGCAGAAAAACGAACGCATGTATACGTAAAAGAATGACAGGTTTCTGACGAATATACAAGCAAGTAAACGAGCATCGACCTTGATAGCAAAATTCGACTATGATAATCACGCATGTTTGTACAGAACAAAAAGAGTCTAATTTAAAGAAAAAAATCAACCGACAATTATTGTTGCCAAATAAATTACTTAATCAAATATGTTACACAAATGCGTGAATAATAAAAAAATCTAAATTTTAATGAGTAGATTGTCTCTAGAATATGTTTATGCGATTTCTTTTGAACACCTAATCTTATCCGACTATTCTCGCTCATTAAATAAAAATATGCATATATTTTGATTTTTCTTATTTTCTTTTTAATAATTCATAGACAAAAAAAATAGACAAGCGACAGAAAAAGAAAAGATTAAAACAGGTATTTATGTATTTAATAATAGAAACAATTCAGCAGCATTTTATTTGATATTTTTCGGAAAAAAGGAATGATAACGACGACGACGATGCCGACTGACAATTGTTGTTAATATTATAACGCATTGTACCTGTTCAAAAAAAAGACTTTTTTTCCGGCGCGCAAAATATAAAAAAAGAAAGAAAAATATAGTTGTGTTGCAAAAAAAAATAGTTCTTTCGATAGATATGCGTGTTTGTTGTTCAAAATGTGTATAAAGGTGTTTGATTAGGTATGCTGAATCACCACTCAGGTGCTAGCAACACCACGACGATGTTTTGATAGCACATAAATCGAGCAAATAAGAGCACAGAAGAGTACCATAAGATTGGCTTCAATCATTGTACCAGCACCTTGAATATTTTTACGAAGTTGTTGTTGAATGGCGTCTAAAAAAAATCATTTAATAAGAATTAAATTCATGTTAGAAATAAAAGAAAATATTCATTTACTCATGTAAGACGTTGCACCGATCATAGTAGCAAAAAGCCCTAGGATGGCTAATGTTGATAGACAACCAAGACAAAGAATTGGTATAGCTAAGCCACCGATTAAACCAGCAAGACCGCCAGCAGCAGCACCCGCACCTAATCCAGCTCCGACAGCACCTGGTACTGGCGCTCGAGGAATAAATGTTGGTCCTCGTCTAGTAGCTCTAAATTTCAAAATAATACTTTTTTTTTTTTTTATAATGTTTAATATTAACTTACGGAGGATATCGACGACGACGAACTGAGTATGGTCGCGGTGGGAGGGACATGATGCTGCTATTTCACAAGAAAAGTCCTATCAACAGCGACTAAATCTAGATAAGACAGATAAAATAAACTAAAAAAGAAATCGTTGAAGAATTTTCTATTGTAATCCTTCTCATTAACACCAATACCCTGTTGGTCCTGCACACAGTATTTCTTCCTCAAGCACGGTTCGATACACTTGCTCTCTCTTTCTCTTCCTCTCTTTTTCATCTTTGTTGTTTTTTGTTGATCAGTAAAGAGAAAAAGAAAAAAAAGAAAAACAACTTATAATTACATATCTCTTCTCAAAAAAAAACCGAAGCAAATGCCTCATCGAACAGACGGGAAAATGGTAAGAAAAAAAATCGAGAAAGAGTAAAGACCTCCAAAAAAAAACATGACAAAAAAAGGATGACTATGATATTATAGGCATACACAAAAAATCGAATCTCGAAGGCAATTCATACTCATACACCTACAGTAGGCAATACAAATTCGCTCAACCATGCCCAAATATAGTGGTAGTTAAAAAAGATACTTTGCACAAAAAAAAGAGAGAGAAAAAAAGAAAGAGAGAAAAATATACAACTAGCATTTTTTTTTATGACTACTGTGCTGAAAAAAAAACGAAAGAGTAATACAAGTAGGAGACAAATAGACGAGAACGTCATGGGTGGGTGCTTGACGGCAATGCGATGACGCGTAGGTAGATGAGGATTGCCACTGTATGAAAAAAAAGAGAGAAAAAAATCAGAAAACATGCTATTATGTCATTGAGAGATGAACTGATCATGGTTTTGTAATGATAAAATATGGATGAAGAAGAAAAAGATGAAAAATATCGAATAAGACAAAAAACGGATAACATTGATTCAACATTTTAATAAAAAAAAAAGAGAAAATCAAAATCGGCAAGAATAATCTACGATATATGATCTAAACGATGACATTATCTTTTTGTTTAATGTGTTCTTGATTGTCTTTCAAACACAAGGTTTTCTATGACTATATTTAATTAGATATATCGAAATATGAATCGTAACACTTTTCATCGTGAAAAAAAAGATGTTTTTATTAAACACCTTTCTAAGAAATACAAAATGGGCAAAAATGAATCTTTAGACATCGATACTAAAATTATTCGATCCAAGTCTACTATAAATATTTACTTTCTCAAAGAATATTGTAAAAATACAAATGACTTCAGTTCTATATATTAATGCAATTAATAACAAATTTTAAATAAATAACAGGCAAATTTTAATTGATCAATGTTTTGATTGTGAAAAATTTCTATTGATTATAAAAATATTAAGAACACGTAATTAAATACTTATTTAAAATCCATTGAATAAATCATAACTCACTTTTTATATTTCTGTATATTCAACGATTGTATAAATATTCATAACATAAGATCATTTGGAAAATTCTTAAGTTTCTACTTTATGTGATATGTCAAAAATCGTAGAAACTAATCGTATTTTTCATACAAATTCATCATTTCTCACGTTTCGAATAGCATCCAATTGTAAGTACAGAAACAAAAAATAATATTTTCGTTCGAGCAGAATTCAATTAACGCGAAAACATTTCCAGGTGATAAGTTGAGGAGTGTTCCGATTGGAGATGGTGGCAATATTCAATCTTAGAAAAATTTTATCATTGCTACTAGATAAAAATGAAGGGCACATAAATCATACTTTTCTGTAATATCCTGTACAGTACGAGTTAGAAAGTTTTTCGCTACACGAAAAGTAACAGCTATAAAATCATAGTTGATTTAAGTGTTCTCTAATCTTTAGTTTGAGTGGCATGTTACGAAATTTTACGTTGAAAAAGCTTTGTTTCTTTAGAAAATCGTCACGAGCGTGGTCACCATTGACGGCAAATATTTTTAAGAAGTATCGTAACTAGACATATGCGAAACCAAGTTCTTTTGGTACTAGTTTCGGTAGCTTTTTCAGTGGTCTTGATCCTGAACATGTCTACTTAAGTGCAACAGTTACTACAAAAGAAAACAACGCTATTAGCAAGAAGAGACAAGTTCTTCATCATACATTCCAAGTAAACGTGTATTATCACAGGATTTATTCCGATCATATTCACAAATAAAAAAAGGACGATTGTCTCAAAAAAGATCAAGCAATGGTCCAGTGAACAATATGAACAAATGCAATCAGGAGATGACGGACACATAATTTAGTGTTCATAATGATGACACTATTTATTTTTCTAATATAGGCGTGCACATAATTGTGATTTGTTTATTCCTTAAGATTTAATATTTACAGATTTTTATTTGTATTAAATGATACTTTCATGACAAGAATAAATTTATTTGTTATGTACGAAAAACTTAATTGAAAAAGTCACAAGATTAAAGAATGGCATAAAATCTCGGTGACCAAGACCAAGACTACTCCTACACATGCCTGATCGTAACTGATATTTAATGACAGTTTAGTTTGTTGAAACGAAAAGAAATAGCAGAATTTTTAATCAGGCTACAGACAAATTTTGCATCGGGAAGTAGTGTTAGTTGCATGAGCGTAAACAGTTTTCAATGGCTTCAATCTTAATTCAAGGAAATTTTGATGTTTTCAGTCTTTAGAAATCATGATTTGGATCAATAGTCGCTACGGTGAACGCTTTCGGCGTTAAAAGTTTAGAGAAATTTTTCTTCGTCAAAAAAAAGGGACAAGAAATCGATTTTTTTGATCGTGTAAGATCCTCCAAAATTGAAAATCTTTTTTTTTGTATCATAAACAGCGACAAAAATTAGGGTAATTCGATTTCGAAAAAGTGTGAATGTGTTTAAACGTTTCTTCTCGAATCATGACTATTTTTTCTGCTCTTGTGATTTGTTTAAAGATATATCGAGAGAAAAAAGCTCGAATAATATATATTTAGTTAGATGTTCTATTGTTTGACAAGTCTCAGAGTCTAGCCAATGTTCTAAACGTTTTAATCTAAATCAATGCTTCTGACTTGAGATAATCAAACGGATGAAAACAAAAAAGAACACAGTTTCATTAATATGCAATTTGATAAATCTGAGTTTTCTCGAAAAAAAAACGTGCTCTCCGAAGAAGCAATCATTGGTTTAGGCTAAAACTTTGAGATCATGTTTTTACCTCTGTAATTTATATATGTACAAAATATCAAGCCAAAAATATGTTATTCAAATTTGTTCAATCAAAAGATCGTGAAACAGATCACAAACACAATAAAACGAGCAAAAGTGTAGAAGAAAAATTGAATAAAATAAATGTATAAATGTTTCATACTTCATCAAAGGTTACTAACAGCTAAAAGATGCTGTAAAAATACTTTGAATATACAAATATCTTTACTTTACTGGTGACGGAGGCGTAAACAGATCACCTCGCCTATCTATTATGTTTTATACTTACGAGAAAATCTTTTCAACTAATCAGTCACTTTTGTATTTCGGAGTTGGTGTATACGGTAGACCTCGGTGAGATATAAAAAACCTCAAAAGAATACGTCATCTTAGGCATTTTATGCAGGTTTATAGGTGTTTTATTGGTATTTCAGCCTCTGTCATTGTGCATACCAACAAATCGAATGACGGTACTTCGACCTGAGATTTTGCCTTCAAACAGATCTATTTTGTCAATAGAGAGCTCTCAAAGTCTCAGCTGAAAAGAATGTTTTCTTCTCGTGATATTAAAGTCCCAAAAAATTTTAAAAAATCTTTCACCTTTAGTCGAATATGACTGGCTATTAGAACTTTTATATCTTGGAAGGGACACTCTTTTGTGCTGAATTTGTCAGTGCCCATAACTAACTAATAGGCCTATCAGTGAGCAACATAACAGGTCGAAATACTGTCATTCAACTTTTTTAGTATATATCAAGCCAGAGATTGAAATTCTAGTAAAATGTCTATGATTCTGAAAAAAAGGCCTGAGCTGACTTATCTTTTTGTGATTTTACTATCCCACTGGAGTCTATATTATGAACTGACTACAAACTCAAAAGCAATTAATCAATTGAAAACATTTCCTCGTTAGTTTTCAACCAAAATTTGGTTTTTTCATGAAACAATTACCGTATTGAAATAGACAGTGGAGAAATCTTTGCTTCTGGAAATTGAGAAATGATTCTTTTCTTTGTTTGACTTGACACAATCATATCTAGTAATAAATTGTGACTACATTATTCCTTGTCTATATATTTATTTAGTTTATTTATTCATTTCGATACGTTATTGTTCGCACTTTTCAGTCGATTATTATGATTGTTTCATATATAATATTGTTTAGTAATGCTCATTATTTCTGAACGCTCATACTCAGAAACAGTTTTTTCTACTTTCTTCTCAGTTGCTACTGTATTAAATCAATAAATAGTTCGGTTCATGATATCATTTTCACATGTATGACTTTCTTGTCTTATAAAACCAGTCTTCTCGTTTCAATTAATTTTTATCACAATATCATTATATAAAACAAAAAGTATGAAGACCATGACAAACAGGCAACATCTATGAAGACGAATGATAATCACAATCTAGCAGTAGAAATTCATATACTTTTCGAAAGCATATTTGGACCTTTTCCCGGTAAGGTTATTTGTAGACAAATTAACCAACATCTTACTCAAGTATTCTCAAAGATGAATTTTGAATATGCCATATTTATGTTTCGTGAATAATAAATGCAAATATATTTTTAAAGCTTTCAAACGAAGATACATAGTTTTTTTTTATAATATTGAATCAAAAAGCAAGAAATGTTAAGTATATATATTGTATTTAACAAGTTCTTAATTAACTTGTTTATATTCTACACGTTTGTCTTTTGGCCATTCAACAGTATATTCAAGAGGTAAACGACATTCACCTCTTCCTTGTAAAATACATTTCCATTCTAAGTTATTCGAATCATTCATTGTTACTGTGTAATTCGAACCTTGTTCTTTCAATCGTAAATCAGGTATTATTAATCTAACTTTTATCTTTTCATCAGATGACAATGGAACTTGTTCATAAACATAAACTGTAACTTCACTTGATTTTGTATTAATAAGATGTGTTTCATGTCGAATATTTTCATAATGTACTTTTAAAATAAGACCTTGAGTATCAGTGAGTTTTTTTGCTGGTTTATATTCTACTTTGACACTTGCATCTGTACCTAATGGAAGATCAAATGTATCACCCACACAAACATTATCAATTGCACTATGCGTAACATAATTATTATCCATAAATACTGATGCAGGTCCAGCTAGAAGTTGTTTATCGGATGTATTAACTGTTGATGCTTTAAGATAAGCATGAAGTGATAATTTTGGTATGACTGTATATGTAAATGTTGAAGTTAGATCAAGTACACCAATAGTTACTTTATGTGGCTTGCCCTTTATTGAAGAAAAACTTTTAAAAGAAAAAACACGAAATAAAGAATAAACTGTAAACTTACATCAGCATCTATTGTTGCTCGTCGAGGAATAGCAAAACTTGTACTTGACATACTAGCTTCGGCTTGAGCAGCTAAAACATTGACCATATTTAATGGTTGTTGTTCATCGGCTTCTTCTAACCTTGAGGAAGCAAGTGATAATTGTGTCACCATTTTCCTACATACATATGGTTTTGTTGAGCAACTTTGAGAGCTATTTGAAAGCAAGCCTGCTTTATTCAGATTTCGTGCTCGGTCATAGTCATAATCGGGTGCTTCATAACCTATTTTGAGTGTTGCGAGTTTAGGTGGAACACCTCCAAGTGATGGTGTTGCTGTCGATAATGACAGCTGTACATCAGACCAATTCTCTTGACTTTTGTTCACCTAAAGGTTTTATAAAAGATTTATCGTCATAATCTAAAACTCTCATCAACTTACAATAATACCATAATAATTAAGTTGAGTTTTTTGTCGTGTTGCTTCTGCACTAGTAACACGAACATCATAACTAGCACTCCATGAACAATTGCTAATTAAATATGATACTTCCAATGCAATATCAATATCATTACTTCCTATATGAACACTTATAGTTACTTCTCGTTTTGTTTTTCGACGATTAGCTTGTTCTTCTATATCGTGTTCATTTATTTTAGTTCTTAACCCATTTTGTTGTTGTTTTAATTTTTTTATTTCATTTTCTTCATACATTGTTTCATTATCTAATTTTAATAAACTTTTATGATAAAAATCCATAAATTGTTGCATTAAATCAAGATTATTTATATTAAAATGCTTATCTTGATTCATTAATTTTGAAGCTCGTCCATCAAGCCATGTACGTTGTTTAACAAATCGTGTTAATTCTCGTTGATGTTTATCAATATCAGCTTGAACATTATCGAATTCACTTTGTAATTGATCTAATGGTGTTAAATCTGCTTTTTCTGTTGTAGTGTCATAACGTATTTGATATGAAACCTCAAGAATAGTACATGCTTTACCTATACCACCACTTACATGTAATGATGTTAAATCAACAGATGGTGAAAAATCTTCGAAAACAAGGTCATAAGTACCTTGATTATCAAAATGATGTTGTATACGACGTGTTACTGCAGCACGATCATTGTAGACAGTGACATACTGAATAGGGCATTGTTGATCAATATTAAAATGAACGATAGATGTCTTAGAATTAGTTTGCGCTTCCTCGGTTGTAGAAGATGTTCTCATCAATGTTGTTATTGTTTGCGACTCCATGATAATGAAGAATAACAAACACGATCTATTAGAATGGCCTCTATATATATATATATATATATTGTACAAATACGTCGCAAAGCCTATCCCGTTCTTATTTTATTAGCATGGAAAAGTGTGGCAATAGTTGACAGACCTATAGTAAATCATTGACTTTGATTTATAGAATAAATCTTTTCCTTTCCTTTTATGAGAATGAATCGTTCACATTACAAAAAAGTCGTTTCTTTTTTCTCTTGTGTTCTCTTGTTCTTATTTTTGAGAGTAAACCTGGAAAGCGGAAATTTTCTTTCTAAAAGCATTAAATAGAAAGAATAAATTATACTAAAACCTACAGAATGTTTTTTCTGTAAATGTTTGCCATGATAACAAACTAATATTTCATTTAAAAACCAAATACATTTTATTGTGGGACGTGAATTTAGAATTTAGTTAATATTGGAATAGTGTTTTGTGGTTCTGTAATAAAAGATATTGCGAATGTATAAACAAACAAAAAAACACACTTATTTATTGTTAATACGATTTACTTGATAAGAGAGATGTGTTTAGATTGTTATGCTTTACGTAAATAATAAGAAGTTAACTGTAATTATTTTGTTCAATAGAATATATTTTCATTTCCGAGGCATAAGAACATTGAAAGATTAGTGAAACTTTTTTGACCAAAATTTTTTTCTTAAAAGTATTTATTCACACACAGCAGATGATTGATATGAAAGATTTTTAAAAATAAGAGTACATCATACCACATACATTTTTAATAATGATCATATTAGAGCATAATAAATAGTTGTAAACATTACCATGAAATTGAAAGTTATATTTATTGTCTAAATAGTATAATTGGTCTATTCCCAAATCGTTCCTGGTTGACAACTACGATAGATTGTTCCATTTTAATTGTTTCCTAATAGATTTCATATAAATTGTAATCGATTTCAAATGCGATCTGATTAATCCTTAAATTGAGATCAATGAGAATCATAATAATAATTTACGTTCAAACTATATAATACTTCATCTTTCAAATGATGACTATCTACAATGCAAACATTGATATAATTCTTATATTCGCTATTTGTTCCACTACTTTTTCATCATGTTTCGTTTTATGACTACGAAACAAAATTAAAAGATGCTGAGCTAACTAGGATTTTAATACACCATCAAACTTGTAAACAAGATCTGTAATAAATGGCGTTGTTAAAACGGAATGTGCTCAAGTATGTTGAGGGTTAACAATAGACACAATCTACACCTTCAGAATTTCTCTATTATTCATTTTGCTTATCTTAATTAGCTAGCAAATAAGGATCTAATCAGGGGATGAAGCGAACGTGGACAAATTTATTTTTGGGACAAACCAATCAGCCACTAGTTTGGAAGATAGCATTTGATTGATAATATATTATGTATAATCGTTATTGATAAATTTTCCATCGAAGTTTTTGATAACACACCAATTAATTTTTCATTTCCGTAGGTATTGCTGTTTATATTAATATTATCAAAACAACAACGAAGCAAACGACAAACGTTATTAAATAAAAAAAACGATCAGAATAGACTTAAACTAAAGAAAATAGATAAAAGCCATATCCGCATTATGGAATTTTATATTGAATTAACCCTTTGGTTACGGGACACGTATACATACGTTTTGAATTTCGCTTAAAGTACGGTTGCGGAATTTTTTTTTCTTGATTAGATCATAAGATTGCCCCTTGTTACTCTTATGTTGCCTCATCACCGCAACATGGAATAACATTATTATGCATTGTATTTATCTACTTTCTTCTGCATTCTGTTGACATAGATTCGTTGTGACATATTTCGTCATAATAATTCAGGAAGATTTTTCTTCGTTTATCTTTGTACTTTTCTTCTTGCCGAATGATGTTCTATGTTTCTGTCATAACTTGCAATTATTTCATGAAACGAGTTCTAGGACATTCATGACAGTTGGAAATGTCTGCGCATCGCATGTTGGAATTCCTCAACATATTACATAGGATTGTTCCAATGTGTTCACATATGTCATATTGGTTTTTCTCAACATTTGTGACGTTGGGCTTTGTGTTATAGGCTATGTTTTGAAGAATACTATACTCTGAAATATTTCTGAATGCTTCTGTATAATAATAAAATCTAAGTCAAAATTTTTGAAAAAAAAAAATATTTTTCGTTATTTTTCAAAAAAAACCCTATGACCAAAGGATTAAGGGATCTTGTTGATATTCATAGAAATACTAAAATGGCTCCAAAAAAACAAGAACATGCTCGATCTTTATTTGTAAACTCTTGTCAAAATCAATTTAGCTCACCTTGTTTATAAAGCATTATTTTGATGTAAAGCATATTTATCTACGGTTTCGAGTACTTTGTTCAATTGTGAACTTTTCTATTATTCATCAAATGAACATTGTCCCGGTCGAAAGTCGATTTGAAAATTTCCTCGTCAATAGCAATAAATAAACAGCTCAAACTATTTTCAAGGTATTTATAGCTCATTAACATCTATATGTTACACATAGTCTCAATTCTGATGCGATGAATCAATTAGCAGATTTCCCCCCGTTAGCCAAAATTAAACATAGCTGAATATATGAAATTCAATATTTTAATTTAATTTTTTTATATTTAGAAAAAAACAGATCTTTATTTGCCAAACTCTTTTTCTAAATCTGGCCATAATTTATATGCTTTTCGATAACATTTACAAGCTTCGTCATGATTTGATTGATCTTCATATTGTTCAGCTTGAGCAAGTAATTGTCTTGCTTCTTGTTCTTCTTTAGACAGTGGTTGGATTAATATTCTTTTATACATCACATCACTATTGATAATAAATATTAAAAACAATTCAATTAATAAAAAAAATGAAACTCAATAATTGGATATCTCACCTGCGCATGATATACTTTTTTCCAGTTAATAATGCTTCACCTTCATGATACATTTCATGTTGAAAGATTAAAACCATTCCTGAAATAATATTATTTTAAATGAAAATTATGTTAATCATAAATATATATTAAATATTAAGTACCAGTTTCAGGTTTTAATGCATAGGTAATTGGATGTGATTTAATATTATCATCAAGAAAATTAGTATTACCACCAGTAAATGAATCATTAAGATATGCCATGATTGTCATTTGACTTTGTTCCATATAAGATCGTTTAAAAATTCCATCGAAATGAGGAGCAAAATATTGACCTGGTTCATATCTAAATCAAAATCAATATATTTTATTCGATTTTTATTTTATTTTATTTTCATACCGGCATATTCTTATACGTTCATTAAGATTCATTAATTCCCAATGTGAAGTATTTTTTCCACCAGGCCATTGTTTTGGTAGAAAATCTTCATTTAGAAAATAATAATATGATTAAAAATATATAATTATATTAATTTACAAAGTATTACCTTCTACACGAAGAAAAAATTCATCGGCAAGACTTCGTTGTGTTATTTGAGTTCTAGAAAAATGTCAAGATAAAAATATTGTTAATTAGAAAAAAAATTCTACCTTGTATTTGTTCGATAATTTTCTCCATACAAAAGTTTATTAAAACCTATTGGATTTATTTAAAAATTGCAAAACAAAAAATTGATTGATATATCTACGAGAAATATTTACCAATCTTTTCTATTGAATCAATAAGAAATTGACATTCATCTGGTGAAAATACATTATAAAGAACAAAACACACAAGATTTTTTTCAGGAAAAAGATCAACCTATCAATGGAATACGACATAATTTTTTCATAAAATAAATTATAGTATTTACTTTACGTAAACGTTGTTTAACATTGTCCTTTTCTGCATGAAATTTCATTAAAAAATCATTCCATTCAACTTCCAAATCTTGAATAGAACCTTCATCACCCATTTTATTATTTTCAAATAGAACGCATGTGGTGTTTTTATATCTCTTTACATATATCTTGTGCAATTACACAATCATCACGTTTCAGAACCGAAAAGGAAAAAACAATACGAAATGTTCTTACGAAATTAACGCCTTGACGAGTAGTAATATATATGTCACATTGCTCGCTAGTAGGTTAATCAATTTTTCTCGCTTTACAAAAGATTTTAAATAAATTATGCTTGGGTTGATCGCTATAAATGGACACATTACCCAAGGATTGTTGCTTTGATCCTTGTGCATAATAACCCATGTTAGGGCGTACCTAACTTAATCATTGGCATCAAAAGAACTTACAATTTGACCTCTTCAGGTGTCGAATAGCTTTTCGGCCGAAACGATATTCATTTGATGAGTGCTAGTGAGTAAATGAAAAGTCTACAATCGTTTCGTTTTTCAAGCCTTCGGTTTTGAAATATCGAAATTTTACCGGATTTGTCAACAAAAAAGTTGTAGTCCTCTTAATCGATTTTCGACTTCGAACTTTGCACGAATGAAATTCTTAATGAAACTAGTTCATTGGACAAATTTGTAACTTTTCTACTGTATCATATCGTGAGTTATTGAATATTCGATCAACTAATCTCATTAAGAAGTTTATTCGTACAAATTGCGAAGTCGAATGTCATCTTATCCTGCAAGCTACACTTGTGTTAAGTTAATCACAAAAGATTAGAAAATGACTAAAAATACGAAAGTACGCTGACTCAGCAGTTCTCCAATTGCATACTCGTAATCTATTATCACTACGATGGAAACTTTCAAAAATATACATTTATATTACAAGAGTTTATCGATGAGGAAACAGCAGACTTCATGAAAGTACAAAATTGAAGTTTCTATGGTTTCTCATGCGGAGCTTATAGCACATGACAATTATCCATTCATATGAAATGATTGAACAAAAAAAAAAAGAAATCTTCAATTAACTAATATCTTTCTTCAAGTTCAAATTGTTCAATTAATGTAGCTGTATGATGAAATTTAATACTTTAGAAGTCTTCAAGATAATTACAAAAATTTATCGAATATGAATCAGGCATTGTTGAAATGATTTAGGTCTCTTTCAAAATGCTCCCAAGATATTGTTTAAGTACTCCATCGATGTGCTCATATCGCTATCTATTCATTTCATATTTTAACTTTCATTTTACTTTACTTCACTATACTCTATTCTTCAACGAATCTTGTATATTGATCATTATTTGTTTTACAAAAACATCCTGATCGATAACCACATCAAAATTTATACAGAAAACATCAAGTATTAAATTCAAACAGCATATCATTGAAGACTTTTCTTCGTCCATTTCATTTTCCGTAGTAAATCTGATTACAACTCTCAAAAATAAAAATAAAACTATTTTCATATAGAATAAATCATATCTTTTTATTCAAAAATAGAAAATATACATATGTATTTAACAACATTCAAAAAATGCATAATTTTTTTTTATTTACAGAATATATTGATTTAAAAAAAAAATTGTTTTTTTCTTCAGTCCGTTGATTAATCAATTAATAACCATAAGACAATCAGTTGGTATGAAACCTTCTTGACTTCTTTCATTTCGTACCCAAATCCAATGTGGATGTGAACAACGAAGTACTTGTACTAATTCATTTTTTCGAACAGTTAAATCATCACGAAATGTCGCCGAATATGTTTTTGTAATCATATACCATCGGTCAACTAATGTTGAAGTCAATGGTCCCATCTGTTCATCTTCATCATCAACAACTAAAGTCTGATCACTATCATGAATAATACGTCGACTACTTTCAGCTAAAGGTATTTGTGTCGATGGTGATTCATCAATATCATGATCATCAATTTCATCGAGAAAATATTCCAAACGATGATTAGATAATAAATTATGGGATATGTAATTAATGATTGATGGATCACACCTTAAATGAAGTGACTGTGGTGTTGTTGTTGTACGATTAAGTAATGATGTTGACAACGATGAAGAAGATAGTAATGAGCAGTGTGAAAAGTCACTCAATGTTGACACACCTGAATCTAATGAATCAGCACTGATAGATGAGATTGTATCATCAGATTTGATCTTTTAGATAGAAAAAAAAAATAACAAAAAGAAATGTTTTAACACTTTCTTTTCTTTTGACTTATTACTTACATTCGTTAATGTTTCAAATGTCTGTTCAGATAATTTATCAACGTCCTCATTCGTTATAGAATAATATGTATCATTATGATGAGAAATACCACCACAAAATTGAGGTGTCTCTAAAGAATAAAGAACATTTTGATTAATAGAAAGATTATTCTTCAACGTTTTATTTGTCACAACTTGAGATATGAACGTTCTGTTCATTGTTCACCGTACGAGTGTACAATCGCTGAGAACTTGTGTGATCTAATTTCGAGATGAAACTTTATCTAAAGATAAGTTTGATGGTCACTAGAAACTTTGAGCTAGGATAAACATGTCTTCATCGAAATATGAACTCCCCATAGAGACATCCTTCTTTTGAAGAATAATCGAAAACAGACGTTTACTTGTAATTTAAATATTCTATCAACGACAAAGTCCTTTTACCTCAAACTTTGAGATGTTAGTAGTGATTATAAAGTCCACCTATAAAGAATATCTCAACTTGATATTCTATGGTCGAGGCTCTCAGTGAGGCTATACTCATAAGGGAAAATGAATAAACGTCTGTAACTAAATCAGTGAAGATTGTGAAACCAAATCGAAAAAATACGTTTTTACTATTCGGCAGGACCAATCGAATTCCTATAGTCTTGGGCATAAATCGATTCGACAGTTGGGAATGTTCACTTCTCAGATGGTGGAAGAATTTCTCTAAGAAAACCATTCTGTTATTCTGACTCACTGGACTTCTCTACTCTCTATGTCATCTCATGTTCACAAAAATGCTTTTAAAATAATTATAGCTAATTCATGAATATAAATTGTGTTTTCTTCTCAATGTTTCATATCTTTTAATAGTGGCGTAACCAGGAGATCGTGTTTCATAGGTCTTGCGACAAATATAGAAAGCATGATGGTACTTATGCCATTTTTCTTTCTTTCGCTAGTGTGGGGCAGCTCTCCACCTAGCTCAATTGTGGTTACGCCATTATCTCACAGAATCAACGATGGGAAAATTTTTAGACAAGATATTTGTACATTTCGAGGAGTGAAAAGCTATGATTTCATGCTTTTTTCGACTATCGACTTAGGAATTTTGCTTAAGCTTTAATTAGAGTAGTGAAATAATCTTTGAAAAGTCAAAAAATTAGTTCTAATGGAATTTATGGACCGACGTTTCCGGTTAATATGTTTATTTTATTTTATCCTACGTCAAAGAATTTCGGTTTAGGTTATCATTAGAAATTTGTATTTTTCTTTGCGTCATAAGTCTCTTCTCAAACATTATCGATCCAAACTAATTATTAAAAATTTTCAAAGATTATTTCATTATTCTCTCAGAAAATGAGTTTTAACTCGTCGGAACTAAACAAATCTCTTGTCAAAGAAGTTTTCGTTTACCAATTGTTAAACTATATAGCGTACTTACTTTTAAATGTTTTACATAGAATATTTTTCATATGATGTAAACGTGCAAAAACTTTTGCAGTTGTTTCTTCCATCTTATTTCGATTTGTATATTCAATAATTTCACTCGCATACATCTAACTGAGTATCTCTTATGTTATTTTGAATGATAGATATGATGACAATTATTCAGTTATTTCACACATTGATCTAATTGATCTATTTGAATAATCCACTTTGAATATTTTTTTTTTTCGTTCTTTATAATTGCCTATTGGTTGTTTTATTCACTTGATCCTATTTCACTTTTCTATTCGAATAAATTAATCGCCTAATCGACTCATCTCATGTTGAGAAGCAAGTAGACGAGCTGTTGTATATGCATAACATCAATCATCATTCATTTGTTCAACTCACACATTCGTTTATATAATAATTTTTCTTTTCTTTTTGATCTCGTTTCAGACAGATAGGAAGCATTAAATATACAAAAGAGAAAAAATAAAAAATAGAAAAAGATTTTTTTCCCGTATTTAAGCTGTTGAAATTCGATCTGTTTTAAATAAATCTTCATTCCATTCAAGTTGTTCAGTCCATGCATAAAGAGCATCAACTTCTCCATCATTAAATTCATCTTTTGCAATAGGTGTATTATCTGGTCGATGACGTTGTTCTTCATCATCACTTGTATTTGGTGCAATTTGTTGTTCATATTGAAGTATAAGAGTTGTTGGCAATGATTCAGATCGTGTCATTATATAAGCTTGACGCATTTTTGATGCATTTTCAATGGCTCGACGAGAGCGACGTGCTGTTGATAATGGTTTCTTGGGATATGTAGTCGATGTACGACTTGTTCGTGATGTTGCTGATGATCTAATAGAATATTAAAGATAAAACAAAATAACTGTTGAGATATCTGCCTTTTTTTTATTTGTTTACTTTATCTGTTTGAGTAACTCAATATGTTGTAATTGTACTGATTGAGCATTTGGTTGAGTAAGTAACATAGGTAATCTATCACGTAAATCAGGCGATATATGACCTGATTCTATATAACTAATAATATCATAAAATACTGAATGTCTTGGAATATCTATTGAGAAGAAATAAAAGATGAATATGTTAGATTTTAGCTTAAAATCTGGTTGCCTTGAAAATTGAAAAGTCAACTAATGAGGTAGTCTCCTTAGGTATAAAATCGCTTTTCGGCCAAGACAATGTTTATTTAATGAATGCTAGCGAATAATAGACAATTCTAGAATGATTTGGTTTTTCTTATGTTTGTTATTGAGACAGCGGAATTTTATTTGGATTTTTAACAAAATGCTGTGGTTTGTCTAATCGACTTTCGACTCTAAATTTTGCACGAGCAATACTCTTTATGAAATAAGTTGATTCGGTGAGTGATAAATTTTGTAGCATCATCTATTCTGAGATAGTTAGTATTCGAATTTCTCTGATGTGTAAGAACACATTTTGTTCATATATTTACATGTCCAAAAAGAAAATATTAGAAAAGCTAAAGCTTGCATAATCAATTAAGTGATCACCGTTTTTTATTTAAAAGTCTAGTGAAATTTAAGTATCTCGATAATGAAGGCTCGGAAAATCAAAGGCTTCTAGAATTTTGTGTTTTTCTCTAGCATCCATAAAATGAGCATCGCCTTGATCCAAAAAGCGTTTTGACATCTCATGAAGTTCCCTCGTAAGATGCAGTTGATCGACTCATTTATGGTAAAGTCAACGTGGTCATTTTTAAAACGTAGAAATGTAAAATTGTGATGCAAAAAGCAGTAATCAATGATTTTCAACTTTTGTGAAGTTTTTCATGTCGGTTTTAGAAAGGCATTTCAGAATCATTGTCATACCATGATAACATTTAATACTGAAGGAAGAATTCAACTCGAAGATATGCAGATGCCTGTCCAACATCAATGAAAGTACTTGATAGCAAAAATGAAACGTTCAATAATGTACGATGCACAATTTACTTTTGGCCCTCTGTGGAATTAAAATGTGAAATAGAATGTAGCTAGTGTTGCTAAATATAGGGAAGTTGTTTTGTTCCATCTATTTTGGAATGTTTTTCTTCACTATCCTTTTACTTAATCCTTCAAAAATATAATTAGGAGGTAGCATATATATAACGAGACATAATTGACGTGCGATTTGTAGCATGAGCGAGATGTCGCTAAGGTATTTTGAATCGTACGTGTTTCGCAAATAAAAAAGCGTTTTACTATTGCTTAACTTGATAATTAATCTACAATTGATTGTATAAAAGAAAAACTACGTATTGTATTTTTACTCTAGTGATTGAAACTTAAATCAATGTTATTGTAATAAAAAACCAAAACGTAAAATTTGTTATACGTCTTGTTACGTCTTTGTTCAATGTTCATTGAATTTTCTCAACTTTTTCTATTCTATAAACATTTACTATTTTATATTTTAAAGTCAACTTCGATATATTTGAAAAAATAAATAGACAACCTTCAAGATTTAATCGTCTCCAATTGTTTGCTCGTCCACCAAGATATGATGGTAATTCGTCCAATAAGCTTGAATACTAAAATTGTATTAATATAAAAACAAAAGAAGAAAAGAAACAAAATATAATCAATTTATCTTCTCACTTGCATATAATCTTTCAATGTAACAACATCAACTTCATCTGATGCTCGTCCATCAGCTCCTTGTAATGAATCAGATAACATTTGTTGATAGAAAACTCTTTGTCCCATTTGTTTACATGCAGCTATACGAGCCTATTCTACATAACATGGTAAAGAAATTTTCTAAATCTATATGAATAATTGTTACATACGTTCATATCAGCATTAATCATACTTTTACCATTAACATATTTTGGAAGGGCACCATTAAAATTACGTACATAAATTTTAAAATAAATCACCGGTGGAAATTCTACACCGCCAAAACTAAAAACAAATTTTTGTTTCATTATAATCTTTGTATGATCATATTTATGTTGACAATGTATTCTTCTATTTTTTATGTGTATTAATTTTAACTGAGTAACTATTTAAAGAAAATTTATGAAAATATATTTACCGAAATTTAACTTTAGCACTTATACTACGATCACGTAAAAGTTCAGCTTCACGAGGTGACAATCGTCGAAGAATATCATTTGACAGAGCATGTTCAGCAGCACATACAGCATGCTTTAATAGTCGAAACATTTGTCTATCACGGTGTCGACACCAAGCTTTTTCAATAATCTGAACAGCTTCCTTAGCACGAACTGTATCATATGAGAGTCTGAATATATAGAAAAACTTCGTTCAATGTAAAATATGAAATTCATACTCTACCTTGTTTTATGTCCTTGTGACATTTGTCTTTGGTTTTAAATAAGAAAGAGAAAAATTTATCTAAAAAGAAAAAAAAAAGAATAAAACAAAAAGAAAAATTTATTATTTCTGTATTTGAGATGTATCATCTAATGTTCCTGTCGCATATTCTTTATCAACAAATTCTTTAAGTTTAGTTTTTAATTCAATTCCAAGTAAATTTTCAAATGATTTAGCATCTAATGTAGCTAAACGACATTGTTCAAGTGCTGTAACTGTTGCATAACGTGGTTTATTTTCAAGTAATGCTAATTCACCAAAACATTTTCCTGTTCCAAGTGTTTTAAGTTCACGTATTGTTCCATCTTTTTCTTTTCGTGTTACTTTAACTGAACCATCTTCAATAAAAAACATTTCATATGCATCTGTATCACCTTGTTCTATAACAATTTGATTAGCTGCATAATAACGTGGTCGAAGTGCATCAGCTAAATCTTCTAAACGATTTTCACTTAACCAACCGCGAGAATAAAATGTTTGAATAAAATTAACTGTATGAAGAAATTTTAAATATTTTTCACGTTGTTTTATAGCAAATGAAACAGTTAATGTGGAAAATGTATCTCGATCAATTAACCATAATTTTCCATCAGTTGTAGCTATGACAGTAGCTGTACGTGGTTGACTAAATGTGATAAATCAATCATATTCAGGTTTTTCGGGAAAAAAAAACTTATTTAATGCTCTAGAAAAACATTCGGACAAAATCATTTGTCAGCGACATGACTTCGCAAAATCAAAACACGTATATCTTGAAATAATGAATTTTACTAGAGCTAATTTTGAAAAATATCAGCATTAGAGACTGTTGTTCAAAGGAGTTGTTAGTAAAAAAAAAGCTAGTGGTAACAACGCGGCACAAAAACAAGATACTGACTTTAACTTCATAGAATTCATTTTAAAAAAGCTCTGAATTCATACAGCATTTCTGAAAACTATATAATACATTCTATCGAGAACTCTCAAGTCAACAAAATCTCTATCGCAAGTTTTTTCTGAACATGCCTACATTTTTGCAAAAAACTAATTTACTTTTCGTTAGTGACGTGATTGTGTACGAATTTAAAAACAAAAAAAAACTGCTCTTAAAACCGAATGACAAGTTCTAAGCCAATTGCACAATTACAAACCATACAGATCCTTCTTCACAATCTCTAGATAATGATGGTAAGACAAAATCTTTTATTTCAAAACTTGAGAAGGTCACTAGAAAACTGAGTTTTTAAAAAGACGTTTTTAACAGTGTGATCTTGCTGAAAATTTCATAAATAGATGCAGTTCGTGCCATAGAGCCTATACTGAAGTTTTCAGACTTTTTTCTCGTATGGTTAAAAAGATAATCTCCAATTCATTTTTAATTAATTTATAATCAGCTGATAGAGCTTATTCAGAAAAATAATCTTTGTGAAGAATCAAAATCAAATGAAAGATCGGTAAGTTCCGTTTAGCATGAAATGGTCAACGTATTCTCAATTGATGTTTTTTTAAGACAAGAAATAGTTAAAGTTTCTCGATGTTTGTTTTTGTTCGGTAAAAATCTCCATAAGACTTGGATAGACTCAATAGATTTTTTCTCCTTCCGTCAGATTGATATGTTTGAACAAAGCTCAAAGTTCTTGTACAAGTAAATATTGAGTCATCATACATCGTCGATGACTTGAAATGAAGAAAATCTGCATGGAAAATCTAACACAAATTAACTAGAATCAGCTTAAATTTTCTTCCCCTTCGGTAACTAAGATTACATGCCTATTAAATGTTTTCAACACTGAACAAAATTACAATTTAATATTTTTTTTTTGTGGACATGATCACTTGCTGGTTAAATAATTTTCTCTAGTGAAATAGATCAGAAATTTCTCCTTCGAAGGCGAAAATAAACGTTCTGATATTTCTTCTAATGCAAGGTGTTTATATGCAAATTTCGGATTTTTTTTCTGATTTGCACCACTGTTCTCTCTCATTTTTAACTTTCAGGTGAGGATCTTATGAAAAATGTTGAGCCTAAACTAAAATCAAAATGGGCCGCCACCTACGATTGACATCAATGAAGCTTTCGAGTACAGTGTTTGATCAAAGCGTTTATTCATAAAATCATCAGTCGACTGATCAAGAAAATCCGATACACATAACTTTGAAGTATGACAATGATGAACATTGACAATATGATGATATGAGTTTCTATCATTCAAGGATTATATCGGAAATAATGTTTTCGATTTCTTTTTCTTGATAAGAATTTAACTCAAACGATTAAACTGAGATCTAAAGTTAAGTCGAACGAAAATTACATCAATTTCTTGAGCTTAGCATCTAATGAGAGAAGTTTAAAAAAATATTCGACTGAGTTTGTAGTTGAAGTCTAACATTAAGGAGAAGTGATTGAAATTAAAAAGAAACTAGATACTCGATCAACAACTGAAACCGTGTAACTTTTTTAGCTTTTCATCTTGACTGAAATTTGTTTTTTCAAAAACCTAGTATCGATAGTATGGCGAGGCTGAAGTGTTGGCGATACTTCCTCAGTCAATCGACTTACATCTCTTGTTCTAAAGTAAGTAAATTCAGTCTAATGCTTCCATTTTATATTTCGCTCATGTTTCAAAAAGAAACCGCATTAAAATACGTCTATGTCTCTTCAAATATCATTCATTATGATCATAATAGGAAATGAATGTTTTGTCAGATATTTCTCTGTAATCCAGAAATAGAATAGAATTGCTATAGGAAGAAAACTACATACCTGTAGAGTAAAGCAATTTCACCAAAACATCCCTAAAATATTCAAATGAATATATTTTATATGAATAAAAATGTTTAATTAATTACTTTATTATCAAGTTCTGACACTTTCTTTCCATTAACAATAACATCATATTTGCCTGATTCAATACAATAAAAATAATCACCTTCATCTCCTTGTCGAATAATTTCTTCTTCTTTAGAAACATTTTTTGGTGCAAGATATTTAACAAATTGTTTAACAAGTGACGGATCATCACCAACATAAATTACTGTATCTTGTACAATTTTACATAATTTTTCAAATACATCAGGGTTTTTCATAACTATTTTATCGGTTAAATCACGATCAGGATCCTTAAAAAAAATATTTATTGAAATAAAAAAAATTAAGAAAAATCTATAATATTATTTTACCGTACCGGTGAACCACCCCAAACAGATTTTCGTCGTTGTTTTTCATTATTGATACTATCATCACTTTTTTCAGATAGTACACCATTTGTTTGATTAGTTAAAAATATACCTGTTTGCTCTCTATTATCATCAATTGTTGATATATATGGTTGAGTATTTTGTCTTTCAGAAAAATATTGTACAGCATATGAAGGTAATTGATCGGATGGTATTCGATCACGTAAAACATTAACAACAAAATCGGTTAATAATGGTTTAAGAGCAACTGGAAATTGAATTGTTTGTTCGTTATTCGACATATATATATGTGTATAATAAACGAACAAAATAATTCAATGTATCCGCTCGATATACGATATAATTATATGTACATTTTGAGTAGATGAAAAAAATATATATATAGCCAAAACGCGCCATTTGATATAAAACAGTAAGTTTTTTTTTCATAAAAAAATATTTCTGTAAAGAAAAATAAAATAGAAGTAAATAAGAGGGGTAAATACATGAATTATTTTCAGCTTGATAATATTTTTAACAAAGCAAGCTGTCAGTAATGGTGTAACCAGGGTTTCGATTGTGGCGCGCTTAAAAGAAGCACACTCTTCGGTCGGAGAAGGAAACTCACACGATGGAGCTCTGTCTAGTAGAGAGACTTGTGGCGAAGTTTAACTGGTATGGCTTCAATTGGCTAGTTGAATTAAATATATTAACTTAAACTCTCATATGTGTCCTGTATTAACATAGTTTCGTGACGACTTGTGAAAGTTCACCCTACTTTCGCAAACATGCCTCCTAAAAAAATCAAAATAGGGTTTCGGTTCCTATTGATATTTGACCAAGCTATCGAATTTTTAATATGTCTCTATCTGAGAGGATCTCAGGTTTTTTTAGAAAACTTGTATTTTCAAATTTTGATCCGAAACTTTTTGCATTTGGAGAACTCAACTAGACTAACNTTTTTTTTTCATAAAAAAATATTTCTGTAAAGAAAAATAAAATAGAAGTAAATAAGAGGGGTAAATACATGAATTATTTTCAGCTTGATAATATTTTTAACAAAGCAAGCTGTCAGTAATGGTGTAACCAGGGTTTCGATTGTGGCGCGCTTAAAAGAAGCACACTCTTCGGTCGGAGAAGGAAACTCACACGGTGGAGCTCTGTCTAGTAGAGAGACTTGTGGCCAAGTTTAACTGGTATGGCTTCAATTGGCTAGTTGAATTAAATATATTAACTTAAACTCTCATATGTGTCCTGTATTAACATAGTTTCGTGACAATTTGCGAAAGTTTATCCTACTTTCGCAAACATGCCTCCTAAAAAAATCAAAATAGGGTTTCGGTTCCTATTGATATTTGACCAAGCTATCGAATTTTTAATATGTCTCTATTTCAGAGGATCTCAGGTTTTTTTAGAAAACTTGTATTTTCAAATTTTGATCCGAAACTTTTTGCATTTGGAGAACTCAACTAGACTAACTGTTGTAATAGAGGATGAGGAATTTTTTAAACAAAGTCTCTTTGAGATATGCTTGATAGTGTATACAACATGCGTTTTTTTTTTGAAAGATTCATATCGTCAAGGAGCTTTGTTGAAAATTTCTGAATTTTTTTTATGGAAGATAGTCTAGGTAAATTCTCTATATAAGCAAAATTTAAGATGAACAACTCGAA